TTCTCTCTAAAATCAATAAAATATTTAATTTTAGAAGGGAATTCCTGGGAATACTGCTCTAGAAATCAATTTGCTTTGTCTGGATTTTAGAGTTAGAAAATAATCCTATCTTCTTACAAAAAGATTGAAAGCACAAATACAAGGATGGGGAGTTACATTTACCAGAAGAGAGGGCAGGTGGGGTGGAGGATCAGAGACCTAATATGAGACCCATTTGGTATTTTAGTTTCTCAGTGGATGAAGGTTCAAGGAGAGAACAAGGGAATTCAATTTCCAATTCAGCAATGATGAGCACCACAGGTCTCAGATGAAGAAGTGAGTGTTCTAATAGTTAGGTTGAACCCAGTTATGGGACATCTCAACTGTTAGACATGTGGGCAGGCAATGACATCTAGAATGTCTGTCAGTGGGGTCCTTAGCCACTAGACTAGTGTTTAGGGGCAGAGCTTTTGGTCCTAAGACTGGAAAGACCTAGGTAGGGTTTTAGTTCTTCCACAATTAATGAGGGACATTGCCAGCTTATTGGTATGGGTACCTGACATGGAGAATGAAACACAATTTTCATGCTACAAAATGGGCACGTGGGAAAACTGGGTCTTTAGAGCTTGAGGGCAGGGACCCCATTATTAGAATATAGGAAGACACAGGGAATTGTACTGCACCAGAATGCCTCAGGAGTTGGGTGGCAAGCACTAGGATTTCATGTCACGAATCATCGAACTGGGAGAATAATGCTAGTGGAGAGATCATGGGTCAAAATGTGAGGGAAGGCAAAGTCAGCTGAAAGGCTGGGATAGAGTGCTGAGAAAAGTCAAAGGTATACTGTGACTTTAGGTCTTTTTTCTTCCACAACAGACAATGGTCATATATTCTCAAACCGAAAGACAAGAGCTAAGTAATTCTATTGGTTGTTTAAATGTGGCCAAAGAATAATTAGATAATCTGAACTCTAAGAAATGCAGCCTACTAATAATCTTTGACAAAGATTGTAAACAGAGAAGGGAGTTGCTATAAACATAGCTAGCTCATTCTTTTTGTGCATATTTTTAGTTAAGTAAACCAATGGTCTTCGGTCACGTCCTTACATTTTATTTTAGAATCCTTTCAGGTGCTGGAGTTGGTGTTCAGTGGCTGCACTCCAACTATAGGTTATTAAAAGAATTGGGCTTTTGGCCTTATAAAGACCCAGGAAGACAGCTGAAAGAAGACTAAGGGAGAACTGGGAAGTATGAAGTGGGCTTTACATTTTATTTTCCAGATAACAGTCTTTTGATGTAAATCCTTTTATTTTTATTTGCCAACACTGAGAGTTTGCTTTACTTTGGTGGTAGAAATAATTCAAAGGTTCCTCTTGGCAATCTGAAACATGAATCTGAAGAATGCCTATATGGGTTTATAGTTGTAAGTATACAAAGCACAAAGTTTATTGCTGTATTATTAATTAATTAATGTGTTATTTATTATTATTATTTTTAATCTAGTTTTGCCCACCCATGTATTTTGGACATACAGAAACAATTTTTTATATTCAATATTATTTTATATTAGTTTCAAACAATATTAGTTTTATATAGTGGTTAGGCAATTATATAATTGACAAAGTGATCCCTCCAATAATTCAAGTACCCACGATATTATTGACTATAGTCCCTATGCTGTACTTTATTTATTTGCTGTACTTTATTTATTTTTGTTCATCCTCACCTGAGGATATTTTTTTCTATTTATCTTCAGATAGAGTGGGAGGGAGGGAGAGAAAGAGAAACACTGATGTGAGAGGGACACCCTGACTGGTTGCCTCCCGCATGACCCTGACCAGGGCTGGTGACTGAACCCCAACCAAGGTACGTGCCCTTGACCGGAATCAAACCCATGACTCTTTGGTCTGCAGGCCGATGCTCGAAATGCTGAGCCAAACCGGCCAGGGCTCTATGCTGTACTTTCTAAGCCCATCACTATTTTGTAACCACCAATTTGTACTTCTTAATGCTTTCACCTTTTTCACCCAGCCTCCCAACCCACCCTTCCCCTGGCAACCACTAGTTTGTTCTCTGCATCTATGAGTCTGTTTCTGTTTTGTTTGTTCATTTTTTTTTTTTTTTTTTTTAGATTCCACATATAAGTGAAATCATATGGTATTTGTCTTTCTCTGCCTGACTTATTTATTTATTTTAATCCTCACCCGAGGACATTTTTCGATATTTTTTGTTCGGATAGAGTGGGAGGGAGAGAGAGAGAAACATGGATGTGAAAGGGACACATTGAGTGGTTGCCACCCACACGACCCAATCAGGGCCGGGGACAAACTGCAACCGAGGTACGTGCCCTTAGGGGGAACCGAACCCCGGGTCTCTCCAGACCGCAGGCCAACTCTCTAACCACTGAGCCAAACTGGCCAGGGCTGCCTGCTGTGTTTTACTTAGCATAATACCTTCTAGGTCCACCAATGTTGTCGCAAGTGGTAAGATTTCATTCTTTTTTATGGCCAAGTAATATTCCATTGTATTATATATATATGCACCCAACTGTTGTATCCATTCATCTATTGATGGATACTTGAGCTGCTTCCATATTTTGGCTATTGTAAATAATGCTACAATGAACATAGAGACTTCATCAAATTAAAAAGTTTTGCACAGCAAAGGGAACCATCAATAAAACCAAAAGACAACCTACTGGATATTCATTCACCAATGATACATCCTATTAGGGGTTAATACCCCAAATTTATAAAGAACTCAGGCAACTCAACACCAAAAAAACCAAATAATCTAACTTAAAAAATGGGCAGAGGACCTGAATAGATACTTCTCCAAAGAGAACATACAGATAGCCAACAGATATAAAAAAAAAATGCTTAACTTCACTAATCGTCAGAGAATTTAAAATTAAAACCACAATATCATTTCACACCTGTCAGAATGGCTATCATCAATAAGTCAACAAACAAGTGTTGGTGAGGATGTGGAGAAAAGAGGACTCTCGTGCACTGTTGGTGGGAATGTAGATTGGTGCAGCCACTATAGAGAACAGTAAGAAGGTTCATCAAAAAATTAAAAATGGAACAGCCTTATGACCCAGCAATTCTGCTTCTGGGTATATATCCAAAGAAACCCAAAACACTAATTTGAAAGGATATATGTACCCCTCTGGTGAGAAACCACAGCTTTTTAAGACTGGAAGGGACTTTAAAGGTCTTCACACTAAATTGTTTCCTTTTTCAACTGAGAAGAATGAAGCCTGTACAAGTTATGTGACTTGCTTGATGTCAAGGCGTAAATGGCTGGCTGGGCCAGAACTAGAACCTATGAAATGGATTTCCGGTCCACTATTATTTCTGTTACCATGCCTATCCTACCTCATATGACAATCCAAAGTATAAAAAACAACTTTTATCTGGATTTGTTCTAATTTTCAAATCAATTTATTATTTTCTATGAGAATTTGTAGTGAGCAAATTCAGTAATGCTGGTGCTACTTTTGTCATGCCCTTCTGTATAAGCTCAAAATGTATCCATTCCATTGCCTACTTCAATTTTTGACTGCTAGTGATGAGTTCTGTGCATATCATTTAAAAGATGTATTTGCTGAGTTCTGTTGAAACTAGATTTATAAAAAAAATTCAATTGTCATGGTGGAAAAAAGACCCTCATGGGTTTTTGGCTTTTAGGAGAAGCATTTGAATAATCATTTTGAAACTCTATTAAATATTTTTTTCTTTATCCAAGAGACAGAAAAGGAAACAGGATTTGGGTCTTTTTCCATCTTGGTCAAATTCTTAGGCTAATTTTTCAGTGATTTCTGCTATGTATGTGAACTATGACCATATACGAAAATGGTCTGTTTTAGGTCATGGCTGTGGGCAAAGATTAATTGGTGAAAAATGGGCCTGTTCGTGGGATTTACCACACAGTAAGTTTTCTCATCTCCCTGGAAAAATGTGGAATTAGCTCTTTGAGAAATGCAGCCCTGTCATGAGGTTGAAGGGAGAGTTTTGGTGGAGGGAAACACAGTTCACTCTCTAAAGCAGTTATGATTGGTTAGATTCCAGAGCAGTCCCTTTGGTTCAACAAAGTTCTACCCACTTTCAAGTCAACATTTTCTACATGTTGCTAGTTTCACTAGTAATTCACAGATCATATCTTATTTGGCTTCTGTCGTGGCACCCATCCAAACTGGGCATTGGTCTGGGAGAAGTCTCCTAATCCTCCCATGCCCCCTCTCTAGAACATGCTGTTACAGTGAAAGTCTTCGATGTGGAAATAACTTTGCAACGGCATAACTTTTCTATGCTTACTGAGTAGGATACAGATGTGAACTAGTGCGTATGGATGGCAAAGATGGGAAGTGGAGGATGGGATGTTAGTTCCTCGACTGTGAAGGTGTTTCCAGAGAACACTCCACGTGCACGCTCCTCCCTAACAGCCACTGCAAGGATCCTGGGCCTGCTGTGTTGCCCACGCTGCTGTTGAGGACAGACCGAGCCACTGTGATGAGGGTTTCTTCACCCTGCTGTAGGGTGGCTGCTGGTCCTTACTAGGTCACAGCTTGCTCGGGCAGTCCAAGAGCCCACCCTGAACCGGGATGAGGTTAGGGGCGGACCGCAGCCTCTCCCCTTAACTCGCTTTCCCTATTAGGCACTCCCCTTTGGGACCACAAACGACCTCTTTCCCCAAGATCCCAGTGGTGACCTGAGGGAGCTAGGCTGGGTGTCTATGACTTACCCCCAAAGGGAACCTGCGTGCCGGGGGTCCCAGGATGGTGGGCTTGCCCCCTTCCAGTCGAAGACGACCCCACCCGTCTCTCCCAGCCCTGGCCGCTCTCGGGTTCTGGCACATTAAGTCAGCGGGGGTCCCTGGCCCGAGTCCGCAGCGGGCAGCCGGGCTGGCAAGCGGCAGCGGGACAGGGCGCGGGCACGCGCGGCGGCGGGCGGGGCGCGCGCCCGGCTGGGGCAGCCGCGGGGGAGGAGCGCCCGCCCGCCCGCCCGCCCGCCGCTCGAGCGCCCAACGGACCAGGCTGAGGCCGTGAGTTAACTGTTGCAGCCCGCGGGAGTTGGGAGGCGACTCGGAGTCTCCAGTGCCCAGAGGTGCCTGAGGGAGAAGGAGAAGCCCCTTCCGCCCCTCTCCAAAGCCAGCATGTCGCGGACCCCGCCGCTCCTCCGCCTGCGCGGCGGGGACCCCGGGCCGCGGCGGCGGGCGCAGCCCTAACGCGCTACGGAGCCGGGGGGCGCCCCGAGCGCGGGGGCAGGGGGCGAGGGAGTGCCAGCGGCCCCTGTGGTCCTAGTTGGGCGGGCTGAGCCCCGCGGCCACCCCCGTTCCCAGCCATGAGGAGGGACGAGCGAGACGCCAAAGCCATGCGGTACCCGCAGCCGCCGGACGGGGCCGGCTCGCCCCCCGAGAGTCTGAGGAACGGCTACGTGAAGAGCTGCGTGAGCCCCTTGCGGCAGGACCCTCCGCGCGGCTTCTTCTTCCACCTCTGCCGCTTCTGCAACGTGGAGCTGCTGCTGCCGCCGCCGCCGGCCTTCCCCCAGCAGCCGCGGCGCGGCTCCCCCTTCTCCGGGGCGCGCCTCGCGCTGGGCGCCCTGGCCGCCTTTGTCCTCGCCCTGCTGCTCGGCTCGGGACCCGAGAGCTGGGCTGCCGCGGCCGCCCGCCTGCGGACCCTGCTGAGCGTCTGCTCGCTCAGCCTCAGCCCCCTCTTCAGCATCGCCTGTGCCTTCTTCTTCCTCACCTGCTTCCTGACCCGGGCCAAGCGGGGCCCCAGCCCGGCCCGGGGCGGCAGCGGCGGCTCCTGGTGGCTGTTGGCGCTGCCCGCCTGCTGTTACCTGGCGGACTTCTTGGCGTGTCAGTGGTGGTCTTGGCCTTGGGGGGACGGAGACGCAGGGGCCCGGGCCCTGCACACGCCCCGGGCGGCGGCGGGCAGGTTGATCGTGGTGCTGAGCTGTGTGGGCTTGCTGACGCTCGCGCGCCGGGGGAGGCTCCAGCACAGCATCCTGGTGCTGCTGCTCTCCAGCTTCGTCTGGTGGGTCTCCTTCACCAGTCTCGGCTCGCTGCCGTCAGCCCTGCGGCCCCTGCTGTCCTGCCTGGTCGGGGGCGCCGGCTGCCTGCTAGCCCTGGGGCTGGAGCACTTCTTTCAAATCAGGGAAGCTTCCCATCATCCCCGGTTGTCCAGTACCGCGGAAGAAAAAGTGCCTGTGATCAGACCCCGCAGGAGGTCCAGCTGCGTGTCGTTCGGAGAAACTTCGGCCAGTTACCAGGGCAGCTGCAAAATGTTCAGGAGACCGTCGTTGCCTTGCATTTCCCGAGAACAGGTACGTTAGCAGAAAGCAAGGTTTGCTAAGGAAGTGAGCGCGGTCTTGTCGCTTCAGTTCCTGCGTTGAATTCGCGTGTATGAAAGCATGGTCACGTCCAGGGAGAAAAAAAAGTTTTATTCTGGAAAGAATTCCTAAAATACAGGAGGAAGCTTTTTAGAAATACAGAAGTACCTTTTGTGAAATAGTCGACTAATTACATTCCAGTTTAAAAAGACTTTGTTTATGCGGTGGATGAGTTCTCAGAAGAACAAATTATTTGCGGTTTAATAGATTACTACTCCCACCTTGGCATGCTCTGATGTACATCTTTTTAGTGCCGTTTGTCTGTTGCTGTTACCCCAGAGGTAACAGACAGCCATTAGAATGAGTGAATAGACATGAATTTGAAGCAGTGTGGTTTTATTATTTTTGGTATTTGAGAGGAAGAATTTGAGATCTTATGAACATGGATGAATTTTGAAACCGAGACTAGTTAATAGATGAGAAGACTGTTGGAAATAATTTTTAAGAGACCTCCCCCAACCCTAATTACAGCAATATAGGCTAATATCTTTTACAGACTAACTCATTGTGGTGTGCATCTGTTGCCTAATGAGGAGAATGTTGTAACAAATGAACCTTTAAACTTATGTCTGGAAAGATGCCAAAAGCATTTCCAGTTTTTTGTGGGTTTTTTTTTTTTTTCTGTAGTCTTACATGTTTTTGTTTTTTTAAAAAGGAATTGAAGCCAGTATGAGGGAACGAACTTCTATCTATCTTTATATAGCCTTGGAAAATCTTACCTCTTCTACATCATAAAGAAATTCAACAAGTATAGCTACTGTTCACTGAGCATTTACTAAGTACAAAATGCTTTACATATATTAAAATCCTCACAAGAACCCTGTGTGGTGGTGACATTAGCTCAATTTAGAGATGAGCAGTATGAGTTTTTTAGATTTGACCCTACTTCACGCATCTAGTCAGTGACAGTGCTGGGATTTGAACCTAGACTTTTCAGTTTTCATTGTCTTGTTCTAAGCAACTAAAAGGATGAGTGTAGAGGTTTTACATAGAGAGTAGGAGTTTATACTATTGGTTTTTCAGACTTTTTCATTGGTGATGCTTTACACTGGATGTTTGTTTGAAACAAAACTTTCTTATTCTTATTACATCTGATGTTCTCTTCTCTTCAAAGTAATCGACAAATCACTACATTGATTTTATGACATGTTTAACACTAGCTGTAGTGTTCCAATGAGACCACACTTTTCTTCTTGAAAAGTTTTCTCAGAGGCCGCTTTTGTGGCCTGTAGTTATTTGGCCAAATAGTTGGAAAAAAAATTGTTCAAAAATGTTATGCCTTTTGTTTTCTCATTTTACTGCCAGTGCTTAGAAAACTGTGTATCAGAAGAAAAATTGTTGTGAGATTAACTGTAGAGCAAAGTAATAGCTGTTTTCTTAGAACGCCATACCATTTAATGGTTGACAATATGTGAATAGATTGCATTTCCAACACCGGAAAAGTGTTTTAGCATAGTCTCATCACTTTCGTAGATAATTTTCCTGAATTTAACAGCATTACAGTTTAACATATTTTCATTGTGATCTGTTGGTATAGTCAATTGTGGCTGTCCTCTTGTAAATTGAAAATTCCTGGTTTTCTCAATTCTAGTCTGGTGGCTTTGTCCATCACAGCACCCTTTTTCAACCTTTAACTAATAGCAGTGTTGTTAGCTAAATAGCTTCATTTATTATTTGCAATTCGTGCTTTTACAAAGGGCATATTATCTTATTGCAGAAAACTCTTATTCACATTCCACTATGAATAGGAACATTTTTGGGGTCTTAAATACATGCTAATAGTTTAAGGGTTCATACATTGTTACTTACTGTTTGGTGTCATAAAATAATACTATTTTGGTATTACTAAAAATTATGATATATATTTTGATTTAACAGAGATTGTACTAAGAAGTTTCACTTATGCTTGTTCCTGAAGTTTAACAGTGAGTCTTTGGTTTTGTTTGCATGTATATTATGTTAAAGAAATGAAGAGGAAACCAGTGCTTTTAAGGAAGTAGAAGATCAAAAGACTTGCTAATTTTCTAAGTGATAAATTTTGTATATGACAAATGTAATGTCACTTATTGTTTCAAAAAAGTGAAGGGAGACCAAAAAATTTTTAGTAGAACCTAATGTAGGGGGAAATGCCCTGGATTCATAGGTGGAGGATTGAGAGTTAGGTCTTGGCTCTACGGTGTAATTTTGGAAAAGTCAGTGAATCTTTTGAGCCTCAGTATCCTCTCAAGTCAGGGATCCCAAAAGATGAATTCTGTAATAACCTTCCAATTCTAAATTCATTTCTTTTAGTTAGATTATACTTTTTTTGTAAGGTATAAGTAAACATCACAAATTAGTTTTTGAAATTTTACTTAAATGTTAAATGTTGATATGGTAACCTGTATTTTCCAAGATGTAACGATTGGAAAAGGTGAGCAAATGTTCTTTATTTTTGAATAGAGAACTTTAAAAATTATATGTGGATTCATTTTTGGATTGATAACATTATTATACTTTTATTTCCTTAAGAATTTTATAAACATTTTTGAAAAACAATTAGAACTCATATCAATCTAAATATTTTATTTGAGAGTAGGTTTAGAATAATTTTTAGTTTTGGGGATATTAGGTTAGGTACCGTGTTGAAAAATAATGGCATATGTTTGTAAAACATTTGATTTTCATAATTAAATTTATAGTACTTGATGTAAATTATATATCTGTATGCACACATATATATGTATCAGTTCTTAACTAAGTTTTTTTTGTTGTTGTTGCCAAGCATTTAGAGATTTAAAGTTGATTTATTTATTTATTTTTTGGTGCACGGTTCCCGGAGGTACTGCAGTACTGGGTCAATGCATGGAGTCTCCCTGCTCCAAAAACCCATTTCATATATTGTCGTAGGACAGAGGACATTATCAGATATTAAACTGAAAAGAACAGATACTACACTTGATCTTAGCCAAAAAGCCAAGAAGTGATAGGGATTTAAAGTTTAAATCTAGTTATTGGTGAGTTAATGGAAAGATGCACTTAAGTTTGTAGTATATTTACCAGGAGTCAGTTAAACTGAATAGGAAGTTTGGGAAAAAAAAAATTAGTTGTCTGCATAGACACTGTGACCAGAATTTAACAAATTACACTTCTAAGACATTTTATTTGTATATTCTGTAATGAAGTTTTCAGCCAGATCATTCTGTTTGTGATAGACTAGGTAAATACAAGGTTTTGAAAGTCCTAAGTTAGTGTGTGAGATATTTTTCTATACCTAAAATACTAAGTGCTTTCTAAATGGTTAGGTAAATATTTTAAAATTCTGTGGCCTTAAAGCCCATAAATATTATGTAAAGTGTTAATTTTATTTGAAAAAGGTACACACATGTAGTATGAAGGCGTTTAAAAAATTATTTTAAAGTTTAAGTGATTATTTAGCCTCTTAAGGAATTTGCAAGGCATACCTCATTATGAATTTAAGAATACTAGAGTATTTGTGAAATTTATGTTGTGGTTTCAGTGAGTAGTGTTTCATTCTAATTTTACGTTAATATTTTGTGGTAAAATATCAGCATACATAATACTTTTATGCTCTACTTTGTAAATATTATATGTATTCTGCCATGAAGTTATTGTTCAAAAACACAGATTTGATCAAATCACTTGTTTTGTTTAAAAAACCTCTTATGATTTTTCATTGTCCACAGGATAACATGGACAATGACCTTGAACCTTGCTTGCAAAATCCTTTATAACCTGCTCTTAGCTTTTTTGTTTGTTTTGTTTTTTTAAAAAACATCTAGGACTTTGGGACACTCCCTCCCCCATCCATCCTTGGCTCTAGCTATTGAAGGACTGCTTATTGTTGTTGACTTGTATATTTTTTTCTTTTGCTTTTACTATTCACACTGCTTGAAATCTCCTTTAAGGAACAAGTAAATTAAGAAGTCTTTAGACAGTACAGTGATACTCAAATTAATGTGTAAACTGAGAAAAAAAATCCAATATAGCAGAATTGGCCATTTTTAAAAATAAAAGTTGACAGATCATGTGATGGGTGATAGAAGATTTTCATTATATCTCATGAAATAGTAACATCTCCATAGTTTATATTTTCCCACACTGAGTAGGAAGTAAATAGGGCCAACCATAAGTAAAACTGTAAAGTTTATTTTCATTGTCCTCAGACTTTTTATCCGCCTCAGTGGCAGGCCTTTCTCTGATTCTCTTTTTCTTTTCCCTTGCAGTTACCAAGTCTGCCTGTTTCTCTGGCACATTCCCCTGCCTTCCTACACCCCATCCAAACAGGAAGAATCTATCCTTGCTAAAAACGTTCATTTCAACCTAAATATGTTTGTATAGATATAGAAAAGAGAGATTCAGAGTTTATTTAAATGGAAATCTCAATTTGTAGACAGGAAAGAAATTAAACTCCAGAGAGATAAAAATATTGTCTCTAAGGTATGCTGTGAAATTTTTGGGATACGGGGACTAAAACCTTGCTAGGTCCTGCCATAAAGAGCATAAATAGCTACAGTAACATGGTTTTCCAAGGTTGTAATTAATATTGCCGATTATCTGATAAATGACACCCCTGGTTAAAGGAGTTTGTGGGTAAAGGTAGGAAAGAGAGGGGAAACAGAGAGAGATAGGAGGGACTCTTGAAATCACATAGTTCATAATGACCTTGAAGATAAACTTGGTCCCTGATGTAGTTATTTCAGGGTGACTTGTCAGGATGCAGCTGGCGTCAAGCTCAAGTGCCTTCAGAGGCCAGCCACATAACATATTTATGTCATATGCTGAAGAAGGAGGGGAGGGTAAGAAGAATGGAAGTCAACTGACTATTACCTACTTTGCTTAAATACATTTAATTTAAACAAAACAAATGGAACAATTCTGTTAGCTAAGGGAAGCTTGAGGAGATTTGAGTTCTGTCTGTGGGTAGTTCCTGACAG